ACGCTGCCCTATTCCTACCAGCTGTGCCTCTCCTCTGAGTCCAAGAGAAATAAGTTTACCTTTGTGACCCCCAATGTTCAGGTTACAGACAATATTCTCAGTGAAGCCAAATCTGGAGTGCCTTTCATGGACAACAGTGGAAACACTTCTCAATCTGAAAGTGCCAACTGTGACAAGGTAAGCTTTTCTCAAGTTATTCATATTGTACGTATACCACTGTTGCAATGGAGTGACGATGGTTTACCATATTCGAGGTTTTCCAAAAGCCTTGACTGAATGAGCAACACTGTTTTTACCTGTAATGCTGTTATGAAGCACATGTTTTGGCATGAGTTGAACTACTGTTGTACTCAATGATTAGGGCCTGGGTCTCTTCTTTGTTGGGATTGTTGGGGAATGCCAGCAAGTCAAGAATCTTTGGGCTGCTTTCCAGGCTTTTCCAGAGTGATGTTCAGGAGAGTCCTATTCTGCAGGAGCAGCTTTTTGAGGGCTTGGTAGCCTCCAGGAGAAGGAGATGGTGGGAGCGTCTCCTTTTGCCCATCACCTTCCACCAGGACAATTCTGTCTTTGAGCCGTTTATTCCAATTCCCCCCTTCTATTTGAATCTAGGTCTTCTGTTGCTAAGATTCCACTAACCTTTATGACATGCGAATCAGGAGGAGCTATTTACCCTCATCTGACGTTCAGGATTTGGACATTTAAATATGGGTGGCCTTTTATCTTCTGAACTTTTATCCTTCTGGCTCTGTACTCTCTTCCTTGTATTTTTTAAAATGAAGTATGCACTCTGTGGCAGCTTTAAAACCAGTCCTTACCACTGTGGGCCCAGGGGAAAACCAATGAACCTTCCTCTACTCGAAATTAAGGCTCAGAACCATGTGGGCCAATGAGTGCAGCAAGGCTGTTGAAGCTGGCCCTCTGAAGGGCAGCACCACCTCCCCGGAGCCAGGTGAGGCAGGAATCCCATGCCGAAAAATAAAGGAGGAGAACTATGGGCAGCCGCCATTGTGTCTGTGCATACAACCCGGGCTTCAGCGTGGTCTAGAGCATTTGTTGAGCCACAAGCTCTTTTGGCACCTCTTGAGAAAGAGAACCCTTTAAAAGCATGCGAGAAGAAACAGATGCTGCCTCTCATTTACTTTCTTGTCGCAAAATTAAAATGCAATTTGCAATGTGTCAGTCTAGGAACTGCGACTGGTTCCTTGAAATGTTTGGCTATAACACTGCAAAAACATGCACAAAAGTCATGCCAGTCTTGTCTTACAAGACCGGAAATGCCTTCTCATGTTCAACTGGAAAGTGAAAGGAGGGGATAGAAAGGAATCCTTTCCGAGGCATTCGAAGAAAGGCGAGGCTCACTCCTGCAGTTCCTCATCTCAGACTCAGGGTGCCGCTGCTGGCCAAGACAATGCTCACCGAGGTGCTGAGCATCCCCTGAATGATGCTTCCTATCATGTGATATCACAGACTGCAGATCTGGGAAACAGTGGAACAGAGGGGCAGTTTTGCTGAGAAATGAACTTACACCAATCCAGCAGAAACCCATTCCTCTGGATTTCTCTTTCCTGCTGGGAATTTAAGAGCGTTAGCTCATCCAAAGTCGCAAGACGAGGACAGAGTCAGTCCTTCAGCAAGGGGAATGGAAGGTGGCCACACAAACACCAAGGAGTCGATCAGGAGGCAAGTAATTCTCCTTTTATTATTACACTTGCTCAGCCAAACTGCCTCAGAGCAGATCCGCTACTCCATTCCTGAGGAACTGGAAATAGGTTCCATTGTAGGGAATCTTGCTAAAGATTTGGGGCTGCCAGCTGGAAAACCAGCAAACTACGATCTGCATATCTTGTCTCTAGGTAAAAATCAGTATTTCAGTATCAACACAGAAAATGGGCATTTGTATGTAAATAGCCGAATAGACAGGGAAGGAATATGTGGGGAAACTGCATTCTGCCATATAAACTTTGAAGTGATGATCAAAAGCCCCATGAATATTTTCCATATAACTGTAGAGATCGAAGACATTAATGATAATGTGCCACATTTCTTTACTGGAGATATCAAGTTAGAGACAATTGAATCAACTTTTCCAGGAGCCCGATTTGTTCTTGGATATGCCAAAGATGCAGATGTTGGAATTAATTCTCTCCAAAATTACCATCTAATGCCTAATCAGTACTTCATACTAGAAACGAGAGAAAGAGAAGATGGAAATAAATATGCAGAAATAGTGCTGAATAAGCAGTTGGATCGAGAAAGTGAAAGCAGTTTCCACTTAATTCTGACCGCCCTGGATGGCGGGAAGCCCACCAAAACTGGAACTGCCACAATATGGGTTAATGTCCTTGATGCCAATGACAACTCCCCCATCTTTGCTCAAGAGGTGTACAAAGTTAGCTTAAAAGAGAATGCTGCAAAAGGATCTTCAGTGGTACAGGTGAAAGCCACAGACAAAGATGAAGGTTCAAACGGACAGATTGACTATCAGTTTGCCAACATCCCTGAAAGTGCTCACCAGAGGTTCAGTGTCAGTTCAGTGAATGGAACAATTACAGTAACAGAAAACTTGGACTTTGAAGAAATGGAGAAATACACTCTTACAGTAGAAGCAAGAGATGGAGGTGGATTAGTGGCTCACTGCAATGTT